GCTAGTGACAGTGCAAATGAAATGCCTTGACAATCGGTCAATGGGATCAAACCCGAGCCTGCCGTGATAAAACTTGATTTGATTTTTGATTTTGATTTTTTTTGACTTTTTGATTTTTTGATTTTTTTGATTTTGATTTTTGATTTTTTTGGACTTTTTGTTTTTTTTAAAATTTTTGATTTTAAAATTTTTGATTTTTGATTTTTGTTTTTTTTTTAAATTTTTAAATTTTTTTGTTTGAGAATCTTTTTTTTTTTAAAAATAATTTGCCCAAGTGTAGGGCCCTTTTTCCTTCTGTCTTCTCTTTCTTCAGTATCGGCCTTCCATATCACCAGATATTTTTTCGGCGACTTCAGCCATAAATACCTACACAGGGGGCTTAATAAAGTACAACATGCACTTAAATTCCTTATTTTTTGAAAATTAATGCAACTATTACTCATAAAAGAGTAGCGTGATTGACTTGAAAGTATATTATTTGATTCTTGGATAAAATCCTCAGATGTATTACAAAAATTTTTGCCCTAGCATACGCTTATTTTGCGAAATCTCACAAACAAAAATTTGCCCCAGTATGGGCCCATCACTCAGATGAAAATTTGCCCCAGTGTGGACCCATTTAATTGCAAAAATTTGTTTGGATGACTCTCCATTTATTTGAACAAAGTAAGAAACTACGTTTCCTAACAGAAAATTTCATGATGAATCTCTCGAAATAAAACCCAATTACAAAAGATTTCTTTCCTACTTTAGCATCAATGTTTAGCATAATGGGCCTCCATTCCTTGTTAACTCATTTTTCAGGACCAACCAAGTGGGGTGTTATTTCTGCTTTTGAGATGGCTAAGGAAAAATGAGAAGTTAGTATCTGTCTTATTCTTGTACCCAAATTGTATGTAATCCATTTAATATCACATCTTAGTGAAAGTAAATAGTTTGTCACCCTCATTTCTTAAGAAAACTTAGTCAACATATAAGCTTTAAGCTTGCAACATATGGGTAGAAATGAAAGCTAAGACATGTGAAAACTGGTTATACTCTTATGATTACAAATGATTGATGGATTTCTTATGAGCATAATCCTCACTTCGGGTTTTCATGAAGGATAAGTTAGCGATGGACTTTATGAGCTTGTAATGTGGCTTGAAGACGATAATTAAAGAATAAGACTTTCAAGGACATTGCACCGAAGATTGCATTTTTCCAAAATTGCCCCTATTTTGAACTCAAAGATCTTAGATTTGGTGACTTCCATCATTACTTAACGGGGACTTCACCATCAAACCTTTTCATTTCCTTTGCATTTATTTTTGCTTTTTCCTTTTCTTTTCTTTTCAAAGGTGCCCTGGCGAATTTTCAGATAATGAGTACTGTCAACTTCACAGCTAATCAATGCAGAAATGCATTTAAACAATTTCCTGGCATCAGTATATGCGCATCACTTGCCAATTGGAAAGTTTCTTGACAGAGATATTGCAAAGAACAGAAGTCAGGACTTTCGGCTTTTGTAATGTGGTCTAGTGGGGTGCTTAGAAAAGTTAATGTTTGAGAGCGGATTTCGAAAGTGGTTTAAATGATCTGAGATCGCATTATTGTATCAACCCTCTTTTAGGGTTAAATCATAACTTGTCCCAGTTTATTCTCAATTGAGGCTCTTTTTCTCTCTCATTTTTAGCTTTTTGCCATTCCTTTGAAATTTTCAAATTTTACTCCAATTTATGTTCAACCGAGGTTCTCTTTTCTCTCTCTCTCTTTTTTTTTTTTTTTGCCATTTGCCATTTCTTTGAAATTTTTAAAATTTGCCCCAATCTATTTTTGAACTGATGTTTTCTTTTCTTCTTCTTTTACTTTTGTTGCTTTATCACTTTTCACCTTTTGAGACTTTCTTTTCTTTTCAACTCAAACTTGCCCCAGTATGGGGTTTGCGATTCTCAAGGATTGTCAAACGAAGTATTTTATTCTGAAAGCTCAAAAGAAATAACTAGGGATAGAATGTTTGATTGGAAAAGAAGAGAGCCTGACTTTTGTTCCGTTCCTTACATTAACTCTGAAAGGAAACTTTTATTAATGCGAAATTTCTTGCCTGTATCTGAATTAACTGACTGAGGAAGACCCTTGTTCATCTATATCTGTGAAACATAGGTGATCCACCGGACAAAACTCTTCATTTTTCTTTTTTTTTTCCTTTTTCTTTTCAAAATTGAAGCCCAGATATTGATGATAGAATCAAAATTTCCCCATTTGGGGTTCGCTCTCTTCTTTCTTTTTTTTTTTAAATTTTTGCTTTTTCTATCTTTTTTTCACAAAATTCTCCAGTCTCTTTCCTCAATGCGGGGTGAGATCATAGGTGCTTTGAAATGAACCACCCATTTTAGCTCAAATAAGGATGCAAGGGATAAATAGTGTTTAGGTGTAGAAACGATGGCCAAAGTATCATTCTTACACTTCATGACAACCAAAGTAACGAAATGGTTAGTAAAAATCCACTCCCTTTTTGATATCTAAGAATTTTCCAATGTAGGGTAGTGATCATTAAGGCACTTATTTGAAACGAAATTATTCTTTCAAAGGCTCAAATGGGAGAGCAAATGATAAAATCTGTATAGATAGAGAACGAACGCTCGAAGTATCATTCCAAAATTTCAAAACAAATAAGAATAATGCACATTTTTTCTTTCATCTAGATGTGAATTGAATATAAAATTAGACACAGTGGACATTTCTCAAGCAAAGATTGCCCCAATTTGTAATTTATTAATCAATGTGACTGATTTTATTTTAGGGTTAAGTGTGTGACGACCCAATTTCCCTCAAGGGCGAACCCCAGAGGTTAGCGGACCGCCTGCCTAGCTCTCGCCAGGACTCACTTACTAACCTTAATTCCAGAGATAACATTAACTCCAAAGTAAGAACGACACTCCCCAATAGATATTACAGGCCATCCAACTTCACAAAAAACTCCATACTCATGTATACGACAAAGCGAAATGAAATGCAAGTAGTTCAATCACTTCTCTAAGTATAAATAGGATTGCAATTATTTAAAATAAGGACTACAACTTTTGTATTCCTTATTATTTGGATAGCAAATCAATAACGCTAAAACTCTTCAATATAACATCTACATGCTACCAATCATCCGAATATACAAACCAAAATACAGATCAAAAGATAAGAACTTGTAAACTAATACCATAATACAGTGCCATCCAAAAACAAGATTAAGATTTCCTATTACAACTAGCACTATTCTTGTTCTTGTCATCCCCATACCCTGTTAAGGAAAACAAATGAATGGATGAGCTAAAAGCTCAGTGAGGTTCCAAGAGAGCAACAAGCAATTAGGCATTTTAGCATTCACATGATAGCATGATCACATTTTCCACAAAGAACGTAACATCTAGAGAACTCATTTAACCATGTACAGCCGATAACACATGCATATAAAAGGATACAGTCTGTTCTCGGGAGCAGGTTCTGTGACAACTTGTTCAGAATCTGTTGACACTCCGTCAACCATGGAATCATAACAAGTCCAGTAGATCACCACTTAACTCCAACCTCCATCCACCAATCAACCCCCTACCGGGCCGAACTCCAAACATAAACAGTGGTGGTAATACTCGAGTATACCAATTAGTCGAGGAGATAACACTCCATTCGACAAAACAGTAGACCCAAGGTTCGTTATCTAATCGACCAGCCCTTGCCGGCTCGACTCGATTAACTAGCCTATGGGGTTTAGGATTCAGGCCGTTACATTCAACTCATGCGCATGAATCTCAGTTCACTTGTAAACAATTCACTTATAGTAATAAAACAGGAATTCTGTCAACTTAGGTCGAGTGTGATAAAGTACACACTTACCTATGTAATAACAAGTCAATTCAAGTAACAAGTCATATTTTGGCAACAAGTAGCATGGAACTTGCAGTTGGAACACTCACTAGTTCAAGCACAAATAGCGTCGAAAGTTTCCTCCTGGATTGCCGCCTTGATCAGACAAGCCCTAAGAATAACCAAGTGAACAGAATTCATAATTTAGACTCGACTATGAGTCGTATACCTCTCCAAGTTAATTTATTTTTTTTCAAAACCCAACATACACAGCCATATTTAGAATGCAAATCAAGGAAATTTTAAGTATACTCTAGGGCAAAAACTCAAGTAGGGTTTTGAAGCGTATAATAACATTTTGGACTCAAGAAACATGAATAACCAACAAGTTCTGTAAGAACCCGAAAATTATATTTATATTGATATTCTCAAAAATTATATATATATATTTGTATTCTAATCTAATTGCCTTGAATCTTTGATTAATCTAACGGTTGAATCGTGATTTTACTCCTATTGTCTCATTCAATTTATTGCATGTTGGTTTTCTTGGGGTGATATACCAATTCGTCCAACTAGCGAGGTAGGTGCGATAAATTTTGTGAACTAGAGGGAGATTTGTACAAAAGGGGTTATTGTGCTACAAGGTGTTTTCGAAACGTATTTGTTTTGAATTTTTCTACTTTGAATGAATTATATTTCTTAGTAATTGGAAAATGATTTATATATGATTTTATACCTTCTTGTTTCCGTCCAATAATTTTGAAAACATTTGCAAGGGTTTAATTGAAGTAGTCAAACTTATTTGGTTGTGCAAACTCTATTTGAGTGGAAATGAAGGGTTAATCTTAGCTAATTACTTTTAGAATTATTGGATTTTTGACTTTGATCAAGACTAGTTTTAGTCTTCACCTTAGACCAAGACATTTCATTCCTTTTCTTACCTCTTGGCCGACAATGGAGTGGAAAAATCAGCCATAATCTTCTTATCTTGACCAAGAGCTCCCTAGACCAGTCTTCAACCGAGAGAAAGTGAGGGATAATTTGCTCATTGCATGACTAGCCACAATTTTTGACCAAGTCCAAGTACCATGCACAAGTTGACCAAGTCCAATTTATTCCCTCTTGTTTCTTTTCTTTAGTTCAACCGAGAGGGAGAAGCTTTCATTCTTTCTTCCTCACAAACAGCCGAGAGAGAGAGCTAGAAAGAAACCCATTTACTTCTCCTCCTTTGCTTTCTAAAAAAAAAAAAAAAAAACCGATGGAAAACCACAAGATTTAACCGTGGAGCTTTCTTCATTTTTCAACCATTAACATCAGTCATGAAACAAGAAAAATTAGCCATAGTCTTCCTCTGGTTTTGCTCCACTTCAGCGGAGAGAGAGAAGAGAGTTGAGAGGAAGAAAACTCCATCTTCTTCTTCCTGTCATCAATCGAGAACCAAGGCTGATTCAGCCATAGATATTTCACAAAATTCCCCTATTTCTTCAAGTTTAAACCGTAAGTGAGAGAAGTCAAGAGAGTAGAAAGGATCCAGCTATGTTGGAGGGGGAGAAAACAGAGGAAAGCTGGTGCATATCACCCTTGAGGTATCGAAGGAGAAGCAAGTGAGCCATCTGCATTTTTTTTCAGCTTTGATTTGTGAGGAAAAAGGGAGGTAACAATTGCTATAAAACCCCTCATTTTTCTATTACTCTTGAGTATTCTAGTTGTATGTTAAATTTAAGCCAAAAGGTGGGAGTTTAGTGGAAGAAAAATATACTTTTCTAAGTTATAGGTTGCTGGAATTTTAATTTAGTGACATATGCTGATAGTTTTGATTTGCAGCTTTGTATTTGGAACTTTGATGGGTTTCCTTGCTAAGAACTTAGGTCATATGATTCATCCTATGTTAAAAATGATATATGGTGTATTTGCCATGAAAAAGAGTGAGAAATTAGTGGCTTGGATGAAAGAAATTTTGAAGGAACCTGGTGGAAAAAAAATCTGTGGGCTCGATTGCATAAAGTTGAATATATCAGTTTTACTTTAAATTTGGAGTGAAGTTTGCTAAGATTTCATGTTTTATATCATGACAACCGTGTATATAGAAGTTAGTATGTGTATATGGTTGAATCATAGTTGTATGTTCATTGATTTGGCTGAAAATTTGTCTAAGAGAGCTTGAGAAAAATTGGAGGAACTTTGCTCCATCCTTGTCACAGCTTGCTGTCTTGTCTCCGTTTGAGGAGTTTCCACTAGGAAGTCACACTCTAACTGTTATATTTCTTGTTTTGTATGATATATAGCATGTTGGTTTTGATCTTGGTTGCAAATTGCTGGTTTAGAGGTGAGATTTGCAGAGATAAAGTTGAAATAACTCTTGTGAAAGCTGGAAATTCGGGTAACAGTTACCTCTGGACAGTTTTAGTAAACGGATCATAACTTAGTGTAGAAAAATCGAAATTGAGTGCCGTCAATTGCGTTTGAAACTAGACTCATAGATCTTTCTAACGGTATAAAATTGGAGTTGTGGCTCATTTTACATATGCACCAGAAAATCGCCCAAGTTGACTGAAAAATGCGCCCTGCACAAATAAAAACTGGGATGTTGTAGTAAATTGTGCCTCAATTTGGACTAATTTATGAACCGAATCTCCTTGAGGTGTTTTTTTAAGATTGTTAGTACTTCAAGTCTAGTTTTAAATGAGCCAAGTTGTATAAGTTTTTGACATTTATAACTCAAGTTATGATTTTTCCAAAGAAATAATGCTTGCTGGAATTTCAGCCTTGATTGCTAAATTTTCAAGATGATTTTAAGCTCAATTTGCTCAAAATACCATATAAGACTTTAAACTACAAGTATGTGTTGGAAATGAACCAAAACCATGGACCTTAAGTGGTTTAGACTCCATTTATCTCACTGTTTTCATAGCTGGAATTCTACTCAAGGCTGACCGAAAGAGATAGTGATTTTGTTTAGCTTTACAATTGGCTTTGTTTGGTGAAATCATCTTGTTAATGTCTTAAACATATGATTAGACATTAATTTTGGTATGAGTAGTGAATTGAAGTAGAAAATGAAGGTTGAGAGGTGAAAACTTCACTTTCACATGTTTCATGTCCCAAGCGATAAATTTCTAGTTTTAGTTGAGGAAAATGAGTGTTAATATGTTAATATCATGTTTAATATAAATGTTAGCCATGTCATGTGATTTTTCTAACTTGTACATGTTCTATTAGTTTGCATCTGGAAATTTCAGCTTGTAGAGTTGAACTTTTGCTTGATGGCCAGCCTTGGTATGGAGACATGTGAGTTGAATACTTGTCATTTTTGGTGGCTTTATGGTCTGAAACTAATAGCTTGTATAGCCTATCATTTGTGGTCTTGATTTGGATGGTTTAGCCATGAAATTTTGTATTGAATTTGGAGAGGAAATATAGCATAAAATAGGGGTTATGCTGTCCAAATTTTGGGGCAGCTTACTACCTTGATTTTGGACTGATTTGGTGATGTACTTGCCTAATATGCTTAGTGAACCTTTAAGCTTTGCTTATGTATTGCATTTTGGTTGAAATGGAAGGGTTTCATTGGGATTTTCTTCCAAATTGCTGGCTAAAATTGTGCTTGTTTGTCAATGGAGAGTGCAGCCTATTACATTGTTGTTTTTCTAACCTTTTAGTAATTGGTTTTGGCCAAAACTTGTTCCAAACTTTGGAGGAGCCGTTTGTGCATGAATTTGAGTAAAAACTATGAAAATTGGAGGTGAAAACCTCATGATTGTACTTGTTTCATGGCTGCGAAAAAATTCTGATTTGAAGCGCAATTTTACACCTTGCTACCTTTTAGCCTCAACGTCTTTAGTTTGAAAGTCTTTTGGACACAACCTCGCTTACTTGACTTGAGAAAACCTTGTTCTTTCATTGGTTCGCCGCTGGTAAATTTCCCGCCATGAAGCGAATAGGGAACTTGGTTATTCATGTTTCTTGAGTCCAAAATGCTCTTATACGCTTCAAAACCCTACTTGAGTTTTTGCCCTAGAATATACTTAAATTTTTCCTTGATTTGCATTCTAAATATGGCTGTGTCTGTTGGGTTTTTGAAAAAATTTAACTTGGAGAGGTATATGACTCATAGCCGAGTCTAAATTATGAATTCTGTTCACTTGGTTATTCTTAGGGCTTGTCTGATCAAAGGGGCAATCCAGGAGGAAACTTTTGACGCTATTTTTGCTTGAACTAGTGAGTGTTCCAACTGCAAGTTACATGATACTTGTTGTGCAAATATGACCTGTATATGACTTGTTACTTGAATTGACTTGTTATTACATAGGTGAGTGTATAGTTTATCACACTCGACCTAACTTGACTGAATTCCTGTTTACTACTATAAGTGAATTGTTTACAAGTGAACTGAGATTCATGCGCATGAGTTGAATGTAACGGCCTGGATCCTAAACCCCATAGGCTAGTTAATCGAGTCGAGCCGGCAAGGGTCTGGTCGATTAGATACCGAACCCTGGGTCTACTGTTTTGTCGAATGGAGTGTTATCTCCTCGACTAATTGGTATACTCGAGTATTACCACCACTGTTTATGTTTGGAGTTCGGGCCCGGTAGGGGGTTGATTGGTGGATGGAGGTTGGAGTTAAGTGGTGATCTACTGGACTTGTTATGATTCCATGGTTGACGGAGTGTCAACAGATTCTGAACAAGTTGTCACGGACTGTTCCCGAGAACAGACTGTATCCTTTTATATGCATGTGTTATCGGCTGTACATAGTTAAATGAGTTGTCTGGATTTATGTTCTTTATGGAAAATGTGATCATGCTATCATGTGAATGCTAAAATGCCTAATTGCTTCTTGTTCTCTTGGAACCTCACTGAGCTTTTAGCTCATCCCTTCATTTGTTTTCCTTAACAGGGTACTGGGATGACAAGGACAAGAATAGTGCTAGTTGTAATAGGAAATCTTAATCTTGTATTTGGACGGCACTGTATTATGATATTAGTTTACAAGTTCTTATCTTTTGGTCTGTATTTTGGTTTGTATATTCAGATGATTGGTAGCATATAGATATTAGATTGAAGAGTTTTAGCATTATTGATTTGCTATCCAAAGTATAAGGAATTCAAAAGTTGTAGTTCTTATATTAAGTTGGAGAAGTGATTGAACTACTTGCATTTCATTTCGCTTAGTTGTATTGTGAGAACCCGTAAAAACCCTAATATTTTCCTAGGGTTTATTTCCCCTTTAATTGCGTAATTTTTTGCATTTTCTGGCTTAAAAATATTTTCTTAGTGGATTTTATGAGCAATTATAGTTTTAAGATGATTTTTCTAGTATTGGAGAGTTTTTAGAAAATTAAGGATAAATAGTGGACGTGGGACCCACTAGTGCGATAAGTTCGGAAAAATTCGGCCAATAAGGTTAAGTTTCGGATACTGTGTAAAATTTATCGGGTGTTAAGTGATAAGTAGTGTGTGTGAAGTGATTGATGTGAGAGAGAAAAGAATGATAAGATTGCATTTAATAGAGTGACACATGTCACTTTCTTATTGGTTGAACTTTTAAGAATTACTATTCATTGTCTTGACTTATTTGACCAAGGGATTAAAAATCCAAAATTCACCAAAAAATCACCATTTTTCTCTCTTGTTTGGCCGGCTCTCTCTCTCACTCTTGCAAGAAGGAAAACTTCTCCAATCTTCAAGTTTCTACTAGCAAATCATCTCAATCAAGGCCATAAACAAGATTTCACTCCATAAAAACTTTCCTTCTAGTGCTAGCAAGTTGTTTGGTGAACTTTGTTTGAAGGACTAAGGTGCTCCACATCTTCCTCTCTCTTGTTTCTTGGTAAGTGAAGCTTGAAACACCCTACTACCTTTAATGATGGTTATATGATGCTTAGAAGTGGCATGAGTGTGTGAAAATGTGATTTATTTCTTGATTTGAAGAGTTTTGGTGAAGTTTTTATTTTATTGGGATTTTTTCTGGTTTAATATGATCTTGATGTTGGGGGCTTGTATGATGATTTGCAATGGACTAAAATGGCTCTAGTGGATGTGAAATGTGGTTAAATACAATCAATTTTGGATTTGGTGTGAAATTTGAAAAGTTAGGGTTCTTAAATCCCAATTCTGTCCGGTTTTAGATCACTGGGTTAGAGGCCGAATTAGACTTTGCTCAAACATGAAAGTTGTAGGTATTGATGTGATGGAGATGCCTGTAAAATTTTAGGTCATTTGGATTAATGTAGAATGAGTTATGACGAAATTACTGTAGCTGTTCTGCTTTGGACAGAATGCGAAAACTGCGATAGTAATTGGCCATTTTGACTGGAATTGGTTTGGATTTTGGAGTTGGTGTCTTCTGATGAAATGTAGCCGAGTGTCTTAGCTAACATATGCCTTTGGAATTTCGGCATTTGGACTTGTATGGACTGAGATATACCGATTACAGGTTTTTGTGTTTTGCGAACCTGTTTTAGGAATTCTGGGTTAGTATTTGGCATATTTGACCTAGTTGTGTTACGAACTGGATTGAGTGGTCTTCTACATTATTGTAGCCCTGTTTCATAGCTTCGAAATGGTGGGTCTTACACCCCATCCGATAACCGTAGAGAATTTGACGCCATTACCGCATAATGAGTGTAAAACAGTTTTCTATTTGGGGGCCAAGACTAAGGCCATTTTCTAATTTCTGGTTTGCTATTATGCTCATTTATGTATATGAAACCCTATTGGGGTTGTGTTTAGCGTTGCTATATGACTCGTTATCGAGTCTCATTGTACGTGTTATATGTTCTAGGGCTTGAAGGTAGTGCACGACGGCTTGGTGATCGTGGTACATGAAATACCACTTACTTGCTTGGTGAGTATACCACTCACTAAATTGTTACTATGTGGCTTTGTTAAATGTTATGTGATGCCTTGATGGCTTACTTGCATATTGGAATTGTTTAAGGTGAGGTGAAGGTTTTATGGAGAAATCATGGACTGGAGGAAGCAACTTGGGAATTAGAAGAGGAAATGCAGAAAAGTACCCTGATTTATTTCCTTAGAAAGTGTGAATTTTGAGGGCAAAATTCTTGTAAGGAGGGGAGGATGTGAGAACCCTGAAAAATGGATATATAAGTTAGAGCATATTTCATTTGCATTTCTTTTATTGTTCAAAAACTTCTAGCATTACTTTTAATTGTTCACAATTAAGTACGTAAAAATAGGTTTACGTGAAAAATAATATAATTTTCCAAAGTTATGAAATTTCTTGGTTTTATTTGACTAAATTAATATCTTTAGGGTTGGAATAATTTTTTTTTTCGCCTTAAAATAAAATGTTAGATTACTTAATTCCTTTATGCTAAAATTAATGATAATTGAATCGTTAGATTTACTATCTTAAAATAAATTATTTAAATCCTTATGATTAATTCCAATTAGTTGCTAATGGAAAATGTTAATAAAAATTTCCGCGTTAAGATAAAAAAACCAATGAACTTTAAATAAATATACTTCTTATATACTAAACATAACTAATGTGTAAAAGTTAGAAAATTATATCCTTATTTTCCTTTGTTTTCAAATAAGTGCGTAAAAATAATTTTTATGTGCAAATTGACACCTTGGATTAAATTATCATTTCAATTGACTTTATATTACTAAATCGATAAATTTCGAGTTAGACTAACTCTATTTCTTGAGAAATAATAATTGGAAATTTTAATTACTAATTTAATCGCTAAATAATATAAGAATTACTAGGAACCTTAATATTCAAGTTTAATCGATAATTACTCGATAAAAATGGTTTAGGTATATTAGGGTATAGTTAGGCGTTTGAATTGCACTTGGAGATAATTTTTAGAACTAAGTCGGATTTGAGAAATTAAGTTGAGATTAGGGAGTAAAGTGAAAAGACTAAAATACCCTTACCTTACCTTTCCATGCAAACCAAACGGAACCTCTGATCTCAAATCAAATCACGCAGCTATTACCAAATCTGTACGCAAACCACTCTTACACGCAAACCATTCTCATAAACAGCGGCACCACAAAACCATCCAATCTATCTCACGGCTTAAGACCACAAATTCAATTTCCTTCTCTGCACAAAACCAAACCGCAAATCATTTCTTCCTTTTTAAATACCAAGACACTGCCCACCATCTCATTTCCTTCTCTGCACACTCCACCGAAACCACTGCAATTTCTCTCCTCAACCACACCATACCTCTTCCTCTGCATTCGATAAAGAGCATCCGAGAGAGAGAACCACCTAGTGAGCTGCATCCGTGAGCTTGGGAGAAGGAACGTGAGCTGCCAGAAAATTTTTTTTTTCTGGTCCTGCCGTGAGTTGGATGAGCTACACAGCCCAGTGAGGTTCCAGGACACTCTAACAGTTCAAATAAATCAAGTAGATTGGGCATATCATATGCATGGTTCAAGGTTACACAATGGCATGTTATCATGAGGTGATAATCATTGTACGGGTAATTTGAGACATTATCATGGTATGAGACATTTATCATGAGACAGTTATTATGGTTCAAGACATTGGCATATATAGTTCACGAGTGATTAGAGCTTATTACAGGCATAGCTCAGGATTTCATATTGGCATTTTAGCATGAAACAATTATCATGATACCAGGTAAACATATACTGTAGGATACGGTGTTCCAGTGGAACTCTGTCGGTCATCTGCACCTTATGACTTCCGGATCCCCACGGTACGGTCTGGCCATCGCCTTATCCCTCCAGTGGTAATACTCGAGTATACCGAAACGGTGGCCCAGGGTTCCAACCTACCCGACCGAGCCCAGTCCTGGCTCGAGTAGGTCAGTAACCAAGGGCAGGGCCCAAGTTCAGCTTAGAGCTTACAACATGCACAGGTAACCAAGTAATTCAACAAAAGGTAAAATTCATCATTTGAGTAGGTCGAGTGAGGTAAAGTACACACTCGCCTAATAATGATGGACAGTTTCATATAACATGTGATTCATGATAATCAAGTAATCAAGTAGATACTTAGCACGTAAGCACGTAAGCACGTAAGCAATACAAGTTGATTTCATGGGAGCATGTAATTCACGGATATCGAATAGTCATGTAGATTGGAAATCTTGTGAGCAAATAGTCAAGTAATCAGGTAGTCATGTGGTTGGTAAACGGTTCACGGTTAACGGTTGACGGTTAACGGTTAACGGTTAAGTAGTGACGGTTAATTGACAGCCATTTGTCATATGAATAGGCCATCATTGGCCGTTATCCCATTTTTACCATTTGAGAGTCGAGGAGATTCACTCCAACGACGTATGCAACCATAGCATACCAAATCATATTATTCGAGCATTTCCAAGCAATGAGTTATTCATCTCAAAAGAGAACGAGTGCGATAAAGTACACACTCGACTCCATTTCTCAAAATCAAGTAGGCTAAGTAAACAATCTAGCAAGTTAAGCATGTATCGAGTTCATATGGTCATTTGATATGGTTAATCATTTAACCAATTCATGTAGATATACAATGCAAGTATGCATTCCTTAAATAGGCATGAGTATGGTAAATACTTAACACATAACACTTAACACAAAACACTTAACACTTAATAATCATGAAATAAGCGTGTCCTAGACTTATTCAATTACGTATTCCTATATGGAACACTCACCTAGTCAAAACAAGCGAGTAGTTTTCAAACAAGCGTTTAGGTGTCCGCTCCGAGTTCCTCTTGGAGATTTCCTCGAGTGCCTGAGTAAACAATAATCAAGTACCACTCAATATCACTACGAATCTCTAATTATCGAGGAAGATTGTACGCTACTGCAATCTAAGGAAATCTTATGAAAATGAACCTCAATTACTCGTAAATCGAGGTTCAAGAGTAAAGTTTTAAAGTCTAAAGAGAGAGACTAACATTTTCCATGAAATCGAGTTCAAAATGTTCAATCTGTATCGAGAAAAGAAGGCAAGTTTCCAAAATCTCATTTTCTAAGAAATTGACAAATTTCAGCTTTGGGTGTCAACTTAGAAAAATCGTATCTTGCACTATGTAGGTCCACAATTAGAAAGCTTGATACCGTTGGAAACTTCTTCAAAAGCACTAAAAGTTCCTAGAAGATACTTTTCCATGATTCAAAACAGATGATATTCAAAAATTGACTCAAAGTTGCTG